AATACTCCATTTTTTTTACATATATCAAGATGTATATAATGCTGATTAAAAAAAGAATAGGAGTGTCCCCTTCAACTATCCAGACTTTTTGCAGTGTGGTGGTAAAAACCCAAGAGTCTGTGATGTGAATATTTTCCCCAAAGTATACTTTATCCTTGGGGAGCAGTGGAGCAAGGAATATTTATTTTATCTTTCACTATAAAGTTGTATACCATATATCTGCTCCATCAGTGCTCATGTTCAGAAGATGTGCCTGAGAAATGGTGTAGTATGAAGTGGAAGACAAGTTCTCTCTCAACTCTATGGCAACTTGATGTGTAGGCTTTGAATCAGTCTACTGAGTTCTGTAACCCCACTTCCTCAGTGGTGTGGACTTTTGTCCACTTTAAAATGACTTTTCAGTCTTCAGTGGTTTTATAAAACACCATTACCTGAATTGGCGCTTGCTACTCTCACAATTACTTGTATGGCTGAGCTCTAGGATAATTCCTATACCTAATTTTACAGCTGCTTAGAGATGTAATGATTCGTTTTTCTACAGACAGTGGCAGAAGATATTGACATACTTGCCTAAAATCACATGAGAAGACTGAGGGCAATAGAGAGGCTCCTGTGTACAATTCAGTCACAAACCACTGCACCATCCTTCTCGATATTCCTGATAGTTTTTGAGTATACTAATATATCTGACCAAGTATCTGTAATGGCTAGGACCATATTTTTTTACTTTTCCTGGCAAGCAGGGTGAAACCTTTAATTTAGCTTGTGAATCCCATTACCATCATCTAGCTTGTATTTGTTCACAACCAAACTGCTGGAAAATGCTCTAGATGGGACTAATTCAAAACTATGATTCTAATAGAAATAAGTATACTTGCACTTCAAGTTATTAAAAGAGATTTGAATTTGTACAGTGGAACGAATTCAATGTTTATTTGAGTGTGACTAAATGTAAAGAAATAAAACACATTAATTTCTATGCATATATATATAGCACATTGCTGAAATTAATAGGCATCCATCATTCTAATACCATATCATGCAACAGATGTCATAAATGCTGATCTATTTTCTCCCTTAGATAGCCAAATGTTTATTCTGTATTCCTTCTTAGTTTTGAATTAATGGTGATTTTTAAGGAATAAAGTTGGGAGATGGGGGAGGGGAGATTTTAATACTTGATTTTTCCAAATTGGTGAAAATCAAAGAGACTGAAAAGAAACTCCTTCATACTGTTGTTAATAAAAGTCTCATTCTGTTTACTTATATGAAAAATTTCCTGAAGACAGCATATACTAATTTTGGTTTCTGAAAAATGTTAGTAGACTTAGAGTCAAATTCAGAGCCCATGTCTAAGACCTCCAAAGTATGATGTGATGATAAAATGAGAGAAGTTCTCAAAGAGTTGGGAAATAATTTTTTCCTCTTGAGTAAAAGATACCAAGTAATCTATAAAAGAGTAATAGTCATATTACTGTTACTGAAGAAAATGTCCTTCTGCCAGCCACACCATTATCTCAGTGGGGCTTAGTGCTAGAAAAATGTCACTAGCTACAACACCAGGCACCACACAAGCTGGACGTGTCATGTTTTGGAGGACAAGAATTTAATACTTGTGATCTCCTCTTTGCACAGAGCAAATGGCAATGTCAGACCTTGATGATATTTCAAACACTGAAAACGATAGAGGTCATGATGAGCTGTAATTCTTCTTAGAGTAAGAGGTAGCCTTTTGGCACTGAATTTAAAAAAAAAAAAAAAAGACACCTACTGAACCTTAAAATAAAAAAAAGTGTGATGAATAAAATTATCCAAAAATTTTGAGAGTGTGAGATGAAAAACACCCGAGGAAAACACCCAAAGTGTATGAGTAGCGTAGTACTAAGGTGGCAGCAAACTCAGCTCAACCATTCACTGTTTATTAGGGCTGTGAAGCTGATGTGACTTGTGCATGTCTGGTCTGTTATAGATGGGCTTGTTACTTAAAGTATCTTAGTTTTACTCAGTGAATTCGGCATTGGTCTCAACTGCAAAGGTATCCCATTTTTTATTATTTCCTTATATCCCAAGGGAGGAACTTCCTCAGTTTGTGAATCTGCAATGTTGTGAGTACGTTTGAATGATCAAAAGAGACTCAGTTGTCTTACTTAAGTGAACTTTCCCCTTCCAAAGAAGCACAGTGGTTACAAGTGTAGCTCATTTCAAACATAGGCTCAGGTATGTTTGCATACTTCCACAGTTATTCAAAATTATCTTTGTTTTCTCTTGCATGAAATGTGTTTCAATCACTGTACTTTAATTTAGATAAGGGTTATGGAACAGTGAGATATAGAAAGAAAATAATTTTTTTTCTTTATAAAGATAGGAAACTGTAACATCTCACTTTCTATTCAAGTTAAACATAAAAATTAAAAAGCTTGACCAATTGTTGTGGCTATGTTTTTTAACCACTTATTTAGCTTACTAATAATCCATCTTAAACTCCACAGTCTAGTGCTTCACTTAATAATTTCAGTCTTGTGGAAATCCAATTCACAATTAAGTCCAATCAAAATAATAAGTTGTTCTAGTAATTCAGAGCAATAAACACACTAAAGAAGGAAGTACAGAGATATAGAATACAAATTATATGGACAATAAAAAATGTCCTATTCATAGTCAAAAGTAAATGCTTAATCTTAGTTTTAGAAAAACAAAATAATTCTTCAAACTGATGCGTTTCAAAACCAGTCAGGCTTCAGAAAATAATAAAGTCTTACTGAACTGTAGCTTGACTGAAATTGAGATAATTACAGACTGTTTCAACAGCTTTTCAGTTGTTTTGGGAACTGGATTCAGCTGAATGACTGCAAAATAAAGAACAAACTCAAACTAATCTTTCTTTAAGGAACATGTCTGTTAAAAAAGAATTGGTAAAATAAGCAAGAAACACAAAAACGTTTTAAAGCAGAGTAAAAGAGGCAACACCAGCACGCTGGAGGGAAAAACTGATGCCTCTTTTCTATTAGAGGAGTTGATGAGACTAACATTGCTTATAATATTTTCAACACTGTGCTGAATTCCTACCTAAATTAAGGATCACCTTAGATAACCCAGTCAAGCACTTGGGAGGGATGACTTGTGGGAACAGGATTTAAGTGGCTGTAAGTTTATGTGTAATGTGGGGTTGATAACTATCTTACTCACCACACCGGTATTGATCAGCAAGAACTAAAGGAGAGCACCCTACTGATAAAAACTGTCAGCAGAGACCCTAACTGCAGCTTGCTGACAGATAATCTTACTTCTCAGGCATCTGGGTAACCCTAACTCTTACATGATTCAGCACAAAATTTGTTTTCTGATTTTCGGTTTCCAAGAAGTTTATAAATCCTTTGCAACCTTAAGTATTTTTATTTCAGTATCCAAATCCTAAAACTGCTATATTCACTATCTTTGTTTCATGAATCGAGTCTGCTGCTTTCAGCTCTGGCAGCTCTGGACTTGATTTGTCTCCAGCAATTACCAGAAAGGTGGTTACTATAGCTGCACTAATGAAAGGAGCAACCATGTTTCCTTGAAGGCAGTGTAAGCAAACATAAATAAACAAATGTTTGTAAATGAGATATTATTGCAACCCAAAAGTAAGATACTAGATCTTTTCAGTGGCTTGATAAATATCAACACTGCAACTTTCTACACAAAGCTTTGCTTGAAATTTTTTGACACTTTATTTAAAGTGTTATTAGTCTTACAGGATTTTCTTCTTCATCATGATTTGAGCCACATTTTTGGATAGTGAGGCATTGGCACAGGTTGCCCAGAGAAGTTGTGGGTGCCCCATCCCTGGCAGCGTTCAAAGCCAAGTTGGATGGGGCTTTGAGCAAACTGGTCTAGCGGAAAGTGCCCATGACAGATTGGTTGGAACTAGATGATCTTTAACGTCCCTTCCAACCCCAACCATTCTATGCTTCTGTGATTTTTCCGATGACAGTCTGTCTCCATAATTTTACAGATTACTGTTGTAGCGATAACAGGTGCATAGATGAAGGTCCATGGCCAAAGCTAGGAACATAAGAAAGTTTTAAATTGAAAAAATCCTGTTAAGTTGCACTGAACTTTGTCATCTCTGGTTCACTGAATTTAGCTCTAACTGTGATCCTTTTCTGACAACTGACTGTAAAAACTGTATCACACATCGTCGTGTTTGTGTCTCAGTGACTTTGCATCAGTTTTGTTCAGGATGATGTTGGATTTTTTTAAAACCACCAGATCTACCAATGAAACAAAAGTTTGAAGGTCATGCTGTGCTCAGTCTCGTGCAATAACAATAATGACATTTCAGAGAAATGAAATCTCACTCACCCTCACAGCAAACCCCTTCAGTGTCTAGGTCAGGCTGCACTGTCAAATTTTCACAAGTTTTGAGTAAATCCAGTTTATTGCCAAACCAAAATGAAATCTCTCAGAACAAAATTATGTTGTATAATGTAATAGTCTTACAATATTAGCATTATTTATTGCGTTAAGGTGGAAAAGTTTGGAGGGGCTGATCATACTAGCTCATCATAGGACAAGCTTCCATCACTGTAACAGAATATAGAATTATCCTGCAGAGTGATTACTAAAATAATACTGTCCTTATGTATCTGTAGGTAGATGGTGTTACTTACCTGAATTATTCCGTGCACTTTTAATAGATCTTAATATTTCTGGAAAATGCCGATGGTGCTCAATGCTAACTTATGTCTTGTTACTTGGTTAGGACGGAAATATGTTTCTCTTTGGAGATACTGAGCACTGAAGGCATTGGACCAAGATGAATTGATGAACAAAATGAATGCAGCATATTTTAAAGCTAAATTCCTCTTTGTTAGCTATTAAATATATTTGGCGTTTTAAGAAAAAAAGTGAATATCACATGGTAAAATTACGTTAGTTGGAAACAATGTATTTCTTATCTGATTCTGATTTAGCAAGCTACAAACTATTTTCCTTTTCTTCTCTCCTTTATTTTGCAGTTAACTTCGATCACTTTCAAATACTGCGGGCTATTGGGAAAGGGAGTTTTGGAAAGGTAAGAATTAACTTATTTTTACCAGTTAAAAGTCTAGTAGGGAATTCCTTTTTGTTTTTCTGGTAACCTGATTAGGGTAAAAGAACATAGGTTTTGTAGCCTTTTCCTTCGCAAAGACAGCTGATCACCAGTATGAACTGAGTCTGATATTCACTGAATTATTTTCTATTATAATACATTCACTAAAATCAATTAAACAAAAATTATTGTAATAATTAAGTCTCCCCAATGGGAATTAGCAGAATTTAGAAATCTGTCCTCAAAACAAAAAGAAACAAAAAAGTAGGAGCAGACTACTTCTTTAAACAGTCTACTAGCGTGATCTTGTTCTTAAATCTCTCGACTTACTTGTGTCTTTAAAATAATTGCAGTATTTTAAAGGCACTTTACATAGATTAAATTCACTTGGGACTATATAAACTGACATACATTATAATTATGATCACTGAGTAAATATTTGTTCAATTCAACAGGATTTTGCTGAAACAGAGATTAATGGTTTGTTTACACATGAATAGACAACCTTTATTTTTTATAATAATGATTATAACAAGGTTTTAAATTTTAATATGGGTAAATACAAGGCTATGAAGCCAGAGAAAATCATATTATAAAAATATTAGAAATCATTTCTCACAGGAACACATTTGAAGGTGAAATATAACTGATCAGATAACTGATCAAGCAACAGCTTTGTAGATCTAAATTTGAATGAATCTTGAGTATATGCCAGGTCAGTGCGGGTAAGATACTTCTGTAGTCGCGCATTAAGAACACACATAGGATTTTGCTGGTTCTTGGACTTCATGCAGAAAAATTACTTTAATTTTAGATACTTCTTGCGGAGCAGCATGGTCCTTCATGGCATGGTCCTTATTTGATTCAGTAAAGAGAAGCCCTCTCTGAGGTCAATGGGAGAATATGCTGCCATGCCAACATGGTTTTTCAGAACCCCTTAAAATCAGACAACTGGAAAGCTATGATTGTTTATTATCACAATACACTGATGAAATGCCATGCCAAACTAAATAGAGGTCCAAGAGTGCAAGTAAGGCACAGGAAAAGAAGTTAAATTTTGTTGGCCCCTAAAAAGATCACCTGTACCCCTCTTTATTCAAATCTTTTACATTCATACACATTCTACTGTCTCTGCCCTTTCAAAGGGGCCCTCACCCTTCCACACTATGCAGGAAAATAAAAGAAGCCTACCTGCATTTTGAAGGCTTGTTGGTTGATGTTTGATCCACTCATTTCCATGGCATTCAGGAAACAGGTGAATGTTTCTATGATATTTCTAGAAACATCTAACTTTCTTACAGGTTTATTTGACTGCAGTGTTCTAGTGAATCTGCTTTGGAGAATCTGCATTGGTGAGAATAGAGTTTCACAGCCCTCAGAGAACATGTTTAATGCAAGAAAGGACTCATGCATGAGCACCCTCTAAATTTAAATCCTTCTTTTGCAGCTGTCAAATGCAAAAGGAAAGTCCTTGTTGGAACAGGCTTTTTTCTTTTTCCCCAAATGAATTCAGGCTTCTGACAAATCACCTTGTTTTGCCTTCCACAGGCAGTGAAAAAAAGAAACCCATTTTAAAACGACCTATTATAACATAGCCAAAAGCACAACATGGTAAATCAGTCACCATTCCAAGTGTCTTTTCTGTGAGACAGTCTTGCCTTTATTGGTCATTTAGAAGCCTCGTTGCTGGCAACTTTTCTTATTACTGTCCTGCTGGAAGTACCTGGCAGCAGAAAATGTCAACAAATGATGCAAGACTGTTAATCTCTATTGTTAGCTGTTTACTGTTTGAGGTCTGTTGTGCTCTAGCATCTTGCAACACATAACACTGTGTTCAGCATCATGTTTGCCCTAAACTGCCTGCTTCCTTTATGGCTCCGCTGTGGCCTTTTCTGCTTTCTGAGAGCAAAAGGATGTTTTAAGACATGCTCTACTTTTTTATTTTATTGTTGTTGGTACAATAGCTCCCTCTCTCTCTCAATATTTCTTAAATTACTCTGGTTGCTACAGCAACCTTAGGCCTCAGCAGGATATTGCTGTAGGAGGTATCTGATATGGCAGAGCCTCTACGCAGCTCAGCTCTGTCTTGTGCACAGAGCTCAAGGTGATCCTCGGCACCTCACCTCCTCCCTTGGGGCTGCCTGATTCAGCAGCTATGCTCTGTCCTCCCAGCTGGCTTTGGAAAGCAGCTCCCTGCCTTTTCCTTTGGCATTTTCAATTCACAGTAGCAACATTTGCTGTTACAGGAATTCGTAGGCCATTTGGTATCAAACGCTTTGTATCTCAAGAGCTTGCCTTTTCTGAGAAGTGGCCACTTGCTTTAAGCTGCTGCCTCAGTACATGCTGTTTCTTAGGGACGGTTAAGAGCAGATGCTGCCTCATAGACGCTGTAGCTTATTCCCCAGGAAAAGTGAAGATGCATCACAGCAGTTTTGAGGAGAGTAGGAAAAGTGGAGAGAAGAGAAACCACAAGCAGCTCCTTTTTCTGGAAACAATCAGGCTCCCTTCAAAGGTGACTTTGAGAGCTCAGGATGCACCTTGGTAAGGGACAGATGATGAAGTTGAGCTCCAAGCTGCGTTGTACCATCACAGCCAAAATTTCTGTGCAAGTTAGTCTTTCTTTTATTCAAGCCAAGTGACATGCAAGCTGTGGCAGAATGGTGTGTGACTGCTTACTGAATACTTCCCCCTCTCCTGGGCACGTGCATACACACCCAGTGTACGTACCTGTACATACAGACACTGGCACAGCCCTGGGCAAGGGTCAGTGGTACTCAAGTGAGGTGTGGGGCATTACTCTAAAAGTAGCCTTTCTGGCTTCAGTGGCCTTGCTTTGCTAAGTTCAAGCTGTTTCCTTATGCTTTGGTGCCTTCCTGCATAACAGGACAGTTTTTGTTTTTGGGTTTTTTTTTTAGGAAGACCTTTAAGTTTATTATGCTTAAAATATTCCAGTTATTAGTAATTGCAAGTACATTGCAAGTGGGCTGGTCAGAAATATTGACCAAATATTTGCTTTCTAAGTAAATTCAGAAGCAGAAACTTTTAAATACTCAAACCAAAAATGTTGAACTCTGGTCAAAGTAGCTATTTCTTTATGACATAGAAAACCTCTGAAGTGCTCTCAGGTGTTTAATTTGGCTATTTTTTCCATGTTGTTGTATGTAGAGCTATCAATCTTTTCAAAAAAAATATTAGAAAAAAATATATTTTTGAAGATCACCCAATAAGTACTAAACTGACATGGAGTGAAATACAAGAATTCTCATTATCCTTATAACTATACCAATAACCATGTAATTGCAGGGTTACTGCTGCAAAATAATTTGTATTCAGGTGCAACAACTAGTTCTCAGGGACATTATAGTACCAATTTTCTTCAAGTTCTCTGTTCATGGGAGTAAGTATATTGAAAAACCTGACCTCCTTGAATTAAATTTAAATTATAATTTCAATGTACAAATTCTCTTCTATTTGTCTAAGATGGTGAGACACAAGACTTGGATCTCATTAATTTGGTATATTTATATGTATTTATAAATTTATATTTATATGTTTGCTAATTTTGTATAAAACTGACTGCCTGTGCTGAAGTAATTGAAATTACACTGGTGTAAAACAGATGGGAGCCCAGAATCATGTCTGCACTGATTGAGGGTACT